TTATTATAATTATTACACTTATCTGAGAGCAAACATTTATCAAGCATTGATTATGTGTCAGTTTCCACTCGGCACTAAAAATAGGTGGAAAACAGAATAATGTCCCTGCCCTGAAGGAGCTCACAGTTTTACCTAACTCCTGATGTCATTGACTGCTAACTCTGCCTTCAAACCCAAGTACTCCACTTAGTTACATTTGCCACCTCCTTATTTTAAGAACCCTCACACTCAACATGCACACAATCACACCTCATCTTTCTTCCTAACTCCATTCTTTTTCCTTTCTTCTCTGCCCTTATTGTTAGCATCTCACCCAGCCAACTGCCCAAACCCAGAACAAGAAATCCCTGACTTTTCTCTCTCCCTCACTCTCAAATCCAGTTGCCAAGCCAGTCCAGTTTTATCTCTAAAAGTTTTTTCAAACCTACCTCCTCTTCTGCATGCCGATGCTCACTCCCAGAGTTCAAGCCCTCGACATTGCCCTTCTGTGTGCCACCAAGCCCCTGAGCTGCAGTTTAATCCATCAGGCACCCAGCGCCTAGGGGAATTTTCCCAAACGCAATGAGGCCATGGCTACTCACAGTCTCCTACGGTAATCCTTATTGCTTGCTGTGTTTATACTATGACATTTACAGTCCAGCTGCGTCAGGCATCATTATATCAAATGCTACAAAACACCTTAAACCTCATCTTGAACCACTCTCTATAGCTTATCCTCCATCAAGATGGAGGCCACTTTGTCCCCACCAGACCCCTCTTCTTCCCCTAACCATCTATTTCTACCCCTCTGGGAAGGGTTCCCTGACTACCCCTTCCCTAGGGTTCCTCTCCTGTATTCCCACACCCTCCAGCATGTGACTTGCACTGCACACTTCACATGGCATTGTGGGTAATTAGTATCTGTGTCACTGTGCACCACCCTGCACAGTGAGCCTAGCACAGCTGCCTCGTTTAGAGCAGAAGCATTACCAGTCTGTGTTGAAAGAATACAGTGCTTCATCAACTCTAACATGACTTTTTTGTGAGATGCACTATTATTTTATGTACCACTAAGGAAGAAAAAATGCTGCCAATTAAACTTACACTACATATTCTTATATCTCTTGTAGGACACATCCCAATTGTAGAGATGTTAAAATGGGAAAGATGGGCTTCTTAGAATCCCTGAACTATTGTAACTAAAATTGCCCTTATTACTTTATCAGAATAATGCTGTGACTACAGCATGAGCTCTGGAGTCACACCAAAATCCCATCTCCATCATTTATTAGGTGTGTGAACCTGAGCAAGTTATACCCCCTCTTTGTGCCTGGGCTTTCTCATTTCTAAAATGGGGTTAATAGTAGTCATATTCTGCTCTGTCCTGCATTTCGGACTTTGAGTGCTGAAGCCACTCCCTTTCTAGAATGGTCAATTATGTAACTTGGTAGATATGCATTTGTCTGCCCAGCATCACTTCCTGGGCTAGCCAACCTTCCCCCAATTCCAGTTATCCTGCTCAATCTATGTGGCACTGATGGGACCTAAACATTTGTTTCATCCCACAAGAGGTAAGGGGGCTGCAGAGGGTGAAAGGGAGGGAGGGCAGTCACGGGCATCAGGCCCGCCCAAGCAGATCACACCTGCCACTTGGCCACAGTGACTGGTTCAAGGGAAAAAAAATAACCGTAGGGTTTTGGTGAGAGTTAAAGAAGCTAATGTACAGAAAGCAGGTGAACAGCGCTTGCCATGTGGTGGTCTCAGAACAGCTTTTCATTATTATCATCATTATTACTGTGCTGAATGGGCTGTGATGTAGTGAAGCCTGAAGCAAGTACCAAAACTTGTGAGGCACATGCCAGTATTCTAAATGCACCCATTTGCTGTAAGAACTAGGAACTTGCTAGAGTATAAGCTTCATGAGGACAGAGATCTCTGATTTGTTCAGACATATCTTTATCTGATATATCCTAGATACCCAGAATAGAGGCTGGCACATAGTAGGTGCTCAAAATATTTGTTGAATGAATTAAGTCTTCAGTTTCCCTGTTAATTTCCTCACTGCCTACATGTACATGTCACGTGATAACAGCTCCTCCGGTTCTACCAGCCTTCACTTCTCTCTTTCTTTCTTTTGCTTCCTTTACTTCTAGTCTGCTTGTCTTGTCAACAGGTTTCAGCCCTGAACAAGTTCATTATGGAATTGATGAGACTGAAAAAATGACAATGGAACATTTTTGGGGTGAAAGGGTTGATACCCAACTTTATTCCCACAGTGTCAGTTCAAGCACAAGAATCCTGTCCACCTTAGAGCAAGTAAGCATATGCAGCAAGCCGGTCTCTGCCTCTGTGCCTCTCCACCCCCACCCCTGTCTCGGTCTCTGTCCTCAGCGCTGCCACCACGCCAGTCTCGGCTCTCCTACAGCTGGGCAGCCTAGAGCACTGGGCAGAGCTCTTTATATAGAGTCAATAACAACATATTGCCCACATGTGTGTAGACAGCAAGCTGACCAGGGCCAGGGGATAATCCTGGCCACAGGAACCTTCACTTTCTCCACACTGTTATTAGCAGAAAAACAAAAATAGCAACACATACTAGGATGTTTTCAGCCTATACAGTGTACCCCTCTCCCTGCCCATTTCCACTCGTCAGTCTATTTGCTGCTGGGGTACCACCTCAGCCGCAGGGAACCCAGGTGTTTCTCCCTGAGCTTATCACCACATTTGAACTGGCAGAATTTCGCCACTCTAGAGGCCACTGTTACATTGGTTTCCTCCATGTTTTGCTCCTGATGGCTTGGCACTGATAGCTCACCCCCGCCCTCAGAGACATTCCAGAGAAGGTTAGAGTGTTTTGGGTGGTCCTGATTTGCTTGGCCTCTCCTGACTGGTCTCCATTCCCACCACCCATCCCTTGTCGATTCCAAACTTCAAACTGACATGGTTGATGCCACTGCAGCCCCAGGGACCTCAGAGATAAGCTCCCTCTCCCTTGTTCCAAGGAAGCACTACTTGAGAGGAGAAGGCATTTTCCCCCAGTACAGGTCCCGTTCCAGATCTGACACCATCGCCGGGAAGTAACACCTGGGCTTCTCCTCCCTGTCTGAGGCCATGGGGAGAGTGGGATGGGTCCCCTATTGAGGGTGAAGCCCAGGGAGACCCCAAGGACAGTGTCCATGGGAAAAATCCCAATAAAACCTCACTCCAAAGGGATTGGCCAGAGAGGTAACAAAGGACTGGACTAGAAACCCAAGATGCTAGCCAGGTGTTTACCCTCTGACAATGGATGTTGGGGTGGCTTGAATGTTTCTCTCACCATTCAGGGAGTTTACATTTTTTGACCCACATTCGGTGAGGCATGTAGTGTGGAGGCCCCCTCTCTGATCACGCTTGAGAGGGTGCAGTCTGGGCATTCCCGCAGGCTTCCAGGTGGTCAGGGGTGAATGTGCTTTCATTGTAAACCTGGCTCCCTAGGGTCAGAGCCATGCAGTCCCCAGTGAGCATTTGCTCAGCAGCTGTGTTTAAGCCCCTTGTGCCAGGACAGCTCCTGCCCTAAACATTAACAAATAGCCATGTGCAGTGTGAGTAACACTTTCAAGTCGGCCTCACATCCACTCCAATTTTTCCTGAGTAGGCATAACCTAGCACATGTGACCATCCTTCCTGACTCCAGAATTTACTGCGATCCCGGGAGGGCTCCTCTTAGCTCATCTTTTTCTCTGGTTTCTCTCTGCTAAACTTTTGCTCTGCCATTTTTCTTCTATAATGGAGTTACAGAGCTACAAGCCTCCTCTCTTTCCTACAGGATCAACGATGGCTTTAGGTACAGAGGCCCCCACACTGCTCCAGAGGAAGTCAGTCCCTGGGGCAGAGCTGTGGAGCTCTTCAGTCCTTCAGTCTGCATTTCCCTGGGCAGAAGCCCGGGAACAGCCTTCTACCAGAGGGGCCTCCCTGCTCTATGGCTCTGAGTGAGCACTGGTTGTGGGGGTGGCAGCAGGGAGGTAGCAGCCCCTGATCTTTTCTTGCCGCCCCTGGCATGGAACTTCCACCTGAAGAGCACGCTGGATGGGCATAGTAGGGTTCCAGTGTGCTCAGCCTCTGCATCTGGAGTAGAGCTTGCATCCTGAGTTAGAGCTTGGTGAGGAAGGGAAACCCCATCCTTTGGGCATGCCTGCTTAGAACAGAGTTTCTGCAATGTGAGTCTGGGAGAGATACAGAATGGCAGCCTGCCTCTCCCCAGGGGAAGCTGTAGCTGCAAACAGGTGGTGGAGGGAGAGGAGCCCCTCTCTTCTTGGCTGCACTGGCCTGGAGTAGAGCTTCTATAGCAGGAAGCTGGGGAGAGGGGGAAAGGAGTGAGTTCTGGCTCAAATCCACAGACTCTTGCTGTTCTTACCAAGATTTAGAATCTTTCTCCATTTGCTGTATGCCTGTAGGACCATTTTCAGGCCTTTAAATAATCATCATTTTTAATTTTCACCAGCACACTTGTTTTTCTGGGGAGAAAGTCTACTTAGTTATCCCTTCATTCTGAAAGGTTTGTATCCACCCAACCTATTATTTGGTTAGAGAGAGGCTCTATCCATTTGCCTGGCAAACATTTATGGCGTATTAGCTCTATGGCAGGCCATGATTTTGTTGCTGGTTGACTTCTCCTGTTCACCTACTGCTTCAGGCTTATGTGTATTTAGCCCTCATATGTCCAACGGGATCCTGCGAGCCTCCATGGAAGAGGCCATGTCTATTTGGTCTTAGTAAATCTCTGTGGCACTTAGTACAAAGTGGGATGTATAGTTAATGCTTTTGTTCAATTCATTCCTCCTTAATGTCCCTGCTTGACTGACATCACATTTTCAAACCTGTATCTTTCTAAAGCGCTCATTTTCTCTTGCCTGTTTTAGAAAATCGCTTTGGATTTTCTACTATTTATCTTTGAAATCAAAGTCATTTTGCTACCATTTTCAAGTGCCTAATATCCATTAAGCCTTTACATATGCAATCTCATGAATGCTAGCATCAATCTGTGGTTGAAGTATTCTTATCCCATTCTCAGATGAGAAACCCGAGACCCAGAAGGGCTAATGACTGCTCAGTGTTACTGCGAGCTGAGTGGCAGAGCTCTGCTCTGCGCATAGAACTTCCCGGTTCCAAAGCCATTTCCGGTCCTTCAGCCTGTCTGCCCTGAGGTTAGTATTCTCAACTTCTAAGGGAAGAGAATGACGCCAAGTTTAAGAAAAATTATTGTCAACACACTGAGTCATCTACAATATCAGACGCTTTGGGAGCCTGCTGCTTTTCCCACAGCAAATCTGTGCTCCGGCCTCCTCTGGCTTGCTGCACTTGGCGCCCAGGACGCCGAAAGAACCACACGGGTGAAAAGGACTGACTGACCCGGTGCACCGCCCCCACTCCAACATGACCCCAATTAAGGCAATGACCCAACTTATTTACAAAGATGTAGCCCACAAAATGGCAGGTATGACTCAACCACGACCAATCTGGCCCTTGTTGGCTGTGTTATAATAAGAACTTGTATGAACGAATATCATTATGAAACACTTACATAGCAGAAAAACTGTGCTGAATTCAGAATTTTCTCCAGAAAAAAAAAAAGAAGCCTGGTAGGAGTGGTGAAATGTAGCTACACCTCTACTTTTTAAAAACTGGTTTGAAATGAGCATCTTCAAACCCTGCACCCTAAGAATCTTTAGTCCTTCGCTGGGATTTGAGTAGTGCAGTTGAATCTCACTGGCTGGTTCCTTTAAGCTTATCTAATTTCATACCTTCTCCACCAAGCTGAAGAATCAATAAAACCAGGAGGGGTAAAACTGGGAAGAATTTGAGTGGAAACTTCTGAGAAAATCTGGGTTTTTTTTTTTTTCCTCCCATGACAGAAAGAAAAGCTGACATTTCACTAAATCGTATTTTATTTAGATGTTAGGCTGCTTCTCCCCTAAGTTTCACAAAACCCCTGTAATAGTAGTATTTACATAGCAGGAGGTCTTTCAAGTATTAGTTGATTATTACAGCCTTACTGTCCCTTCATTGCCATAGTTGAAAGAAGCAGGGATAAGTCGCTTTATGGTTTGCCCCTGTCTTGCCAAGGGGTTTCAGTCCAGGCAAGTTCACTATGGATTCAGTGTGACCAAAGAAATGACAGTAGAATGTTCTTTGGGGTGAAAGGGTTTATAACCCAGCTTGTTTTCTCAATGGTAGGTGGAGCGCTAGCATCTCTGCCTCCACCCATAGCACTGGGCGAGCTCTCTATATAGCGCAATAAATAGTTTATTGCCTAAAGGTGTGGAAGCAGGAGCCTAGCAACAGGCCAGTTACATCATCAGGTGGTTTAAATTCAGTGAGGATCCTGGCCACAGGAACCCCAACTTCCCCACAGCCCCTAAATCTGCTCTAATGCCAGTCCTCACCTGACACGTGGCTTATTCAGACTTTCTTGTTTTGCACGTCTCTGGAGGTTCCAGGTGGGGCTGGGATGTCTCACATATAATTTGGGCCACTTTCCAATCATCTCTCCTTTCCCTGTCCTCTAGCTGCTGTGTCTGGGTCTAGGGTGTGCTGTTTTCCCACTCAGCCACATCAATGCCCTGCGGAGTGGACTGGAGGGCCCAGTAATGCTAATCCTTTCCTTTGCTACCTCGTCCTAGGGACCACTGTCCCCATGCAGGTATCCCAGGTGGAGTCAGTTTCCCAAGCCACTTGTAGGCAGAGTTCGAGTAGAATGCCTGGACCCCGGGGCAGCTCTCAGAAGGGATCAAGGAATTGAGCTGATGGTGCTGTTTATTTTTCCCCAAAATACCAATCAGTTAAGTTTTTCCACCTGTCCTGGGAAGGTGTGAATAAAGGGGCAGAAAGAGGCCAACAGCATTACTCTCAATGAGCTTCTCTCACACAGATGGAAACATGCTGGGTGGTGGAGACGCAATTACCCTCTATACCCTGCAGGGTTTTGCCATGTGCCCCGGGTGATGCCCATCTGCCCCTGGCTCTCACGCCTCTTGGGCTCTAAGTCTAGATCTCCAGCATTCACCCCCACCTCTTACCACTTCACCTTTCTCCCTTTCCCCTTTTTAAACTGTTCTTTTCCTAGGGAAGAGGGCCACCGCCAAATTAGGCCAGGAGCAGGGTTAGACTTACAATTCCAACATTTTTGTGTGTTGTTTTTTTCAGTTTGCAACCAGTTTATTGAATGGCCTAAACTCAGTAGAGTTCAAACATAAACAATATTATTTCTTCCAGTGGCTGCCCCTAAAGAACCTCTGCTGAGTCTCACTTGCCCTCCCCTAACTGACATCTTAGGTAAAACTTTACAGTCATTTTCAGATATTAAAGAATGTAATATAATATACTTGATCTGGCTTAAAGGTTCAAACTTATGTCCAACTGAGTTATCTTCCTCCTAACTCAGGAGACTCACTGTCCACTAGAAGGGAGTGTGCTTCTCTCTTCTGCTTTTCTTCCATTCTCTCTGTCATGGGAGGAAAGCAAAATTCTTCTATTTAAGTGGTGCTTGGTCCCTGCTTCCTTGGAAGTCAGTACCCACGCCTGGCAAAACTCTAAATGCTGAGTCCCCGATGGGCTCCAAGTGAGTCCTTCATGGGATCCTGCAGGGGCCACACACTGTGCAGTGCCTGCTGTGGGACATGCCTTCTGGCATGATTCCCGAGTTCCCATACCCACTGGTAAATCCCACAGTGTTTTTCTGGATGGAATACCTGGAAAATAGCTTAAGACTTATATGATCACCTTCGCCATGCATAGCAGAAGTTTGTTTCATTCTCATGCAGCATAATTAAACTAGGTGAGCTGCTGGTCTGGGTGGGAAGCTGTGTTCCACAGGATCATCCAGTAATCAAGGTTTCCTCATCCATCTCCGCATTTCAGCCTGCAGGGAAGGGAAAAAGGAAGTCAATGTAAGCAGCTTTTTCTTTAAAGGGATAACCTGGAAGTTTCCATACATCACTTCCACTTCCATCCTATTGACCTGGACTTAGTCACAGAACTATACCTAGCTTCAAGGAAAGCTGGGAAAATGTAATCTTTGGCTGGGTCGCCACGTGAACACCTGAAACCCTGGAGACGTTTTTATCACTAAAAAGAAAACAGAATGAGTATTGGGGCAGAGTTTGGCAGTCTCTGCCTCAGCCATTTGTGAGTACATCCTCACATTGGACTCCAGACTTTGTCCTTGGGCCCTGTTGCAAAGTGTGGACCACAGTACCAGACTTCTTCATTTCCTCTAGACTCCCTGCAGTGTCTTCCTGCTACCAATTTACCATGTGTCAAACAAATCTGCAGATACTGGAATCTCAATTGTAAACAAGTTTCCATGTTCTTACTATGACACATGCAGTTCAAATCACTATGATATGTGACATATGGTGTAAGTCATATATGACATATCACATACATGACTTATGATATAAGGTGTAACCTCAGGATGCTCTGGGAACAGAGCAGAGATACCTCTCCAATGTCCATTTGGAGAGGGAAGACTTGGAGAAGGCTGCCTGGACCATAGTGATGTCCAGGAAGAGTTCTCGAAGAGTAGGAGTCAGTCAATGGAAAGGCAATAGGAGCAACAAGAAGAGCATGTACAAGAACCAGAAGGGAAGAGGAAGATGGAGCATTTGCAGAATAGCCAGCAGGACAGCAATGCTTGAGAGTCAAGTTTGGGCAGGAATGGGGGATGTTTTTAGAAGATGAGGCTTACAGAGGCAAGCAAGAAACAAATGGTAAGGCCCATGTAGACTTGAACTTTATCCTGGGGGCAAATGGGATTTAATGGAGAACTTTATGCAGGGGAGTGATGCAAACCTATCTGCCTTTGCAAAAGACAACTGTGACAGCTGGGTGAAGGATGCATTGAAACAGGCAAATTTGGTGCTGCTAGAACAGTTGGTAGGCAATTTGAGAAATCTAAAGGAAAAAATCGGAATGTTCCCAAGGCTCACATTCTTCCTATGATAGCAATGGTTTTCTTCTGTTTGTATCCAGCCTCATGTATACTATCATGAATATGAAACCAGTCCACAAATTCAGGTGCACAAGAAATACTGTATTTCTTTGTTTTCTATATATCAGACTTAATTTCCAATGTGAGCCCACTCCTACTGGGTAAGTGGCTGACCACCCTTCCCGCCTGGGCTCTTGTCACTTTTGCAAGCTCGGCTTCCCTCTGCTTCCTCTAAACCCACAGATTGAAAGAAACTTGGGGAATCTCTGTCATTCTTGAGGAAACCCTCCTGTTCCCAAGTTTCCCTCCTCAGCCCTTTCTCTCCATGCAAGGCCCTTAAATCATCCTTCTTCAAGACTTTAGACTTTTCTAAACAAATCCAGGAAGAGAAGTCAACCATAATCTTATCACCCCTGAAGCAAGAAGGCACAGAACCTGAAAGCTACTTTCATGGAAGAAAGAAGAGAAGAAAACCCATGAATTAATATGTCAAAAATGGTCTTGTCATGATAAATGAGCATTTTAAATATAATAATTCATGGTGAAGGGGAAATAAAACTAGTGACAAAGTTCATGCTTTGAAAAACTGTTAACACTTTTCCAAAGTTCGAACCATGACTTCAGCTCTGAGCTATCTAGAGATCAAAGCAAATGCAGACACACAAAGTAACATTTCAATGGCTCACCACATCCACCAGAGAAAGAACACCTATTTTTTTAGGCACAACATGGTTTTACTGTCCCTGGAATGAGAAGAAATTTTCTCCACCGGATCCTTATAAAGGGGACACTGCATGATACAGGCCACCCCATGTTTAACATCATCCCTACAATAATGAGTTTCGTCAGATTGTTTCTTACAACAATATAGTCACATGGGATTAAAAAAAGAAAAAACACAGTGTCTGCCAGCAGTATGCCCTGGTTCTAGTCAGGGACAGAGATAAATAGATAATTGTTTTATGTTATTAAGATACCACGGTGGAGGTGTTGTACAAGGTGCAAAGCAAGCACTTCTCCAAGTTTCTAGAAGGATAGAGGGAGCTGCACATCCAAAGGTCAGCAGGCTGAAATGAGGACAGAAAATGTTCAGGTTATAATAAGCAGAAAAAACACAACCTAATATTCAAAAAATGCTATCTCAATTTCAAAACAAGCATACACAAAATATTTTAAGGAAGTATGCTAAATTATTAATAGTTGTTGCTAGATAATCATATTGAAGATGATTTTTATATTTTTCTGTCAGCTTATCTACATTTTCAAATTTTTATAAGAAGAAAGTTATTAATATTTAGAAATTAGTTTTAATTATAACAGAAGACCCAAGTAAAAGTAGCTTTTAGTTTTTGTCATGCATGATATAACCCAGAATGAAATATGAGGTCTGGGATTTGCTTCAAAATAATGCAGAGCTGAGAAAAAGTGGGCAGAGGCACTGATGAATTGAGACTGACCCTTAGTTGCTAATTGTTTAAACTGGATGATTGATGGGTATGTGGGGATTCATTGCACTTTTCTCTACTTTACTATAAACTTTAAATTTTCTGTAATAAAAAGCTAAAAAAACAAACAAATAAAAGAGGATGACCTTGGCACATTCAACCCCTCTCTGGTTCTGTTTGCTCAGTTGTAAAATGGAAATAATAAAGATACCCATGTCATAAGAGAGTTATGATGATTCAGTGAGTTAACATATATAAAATGCTCACAGTGCCTGACACTTAAGATGATTGCTTAAGCCGGGGGACACAGTAACCCTTCAAGATCCCAGGTTCTTTCCGTCTTTCTATTCTGTCATCTCATCCACGCCATTGTTACATGATGCTGAAGCTCTTCTAGGCATCACCTCTTTCCATTAGCCTTCCTAGAAGCAGAAAAGAGGTGAGTCTCTGACTTGCTCTGTCTGCTCTTTTAATGCAAGAAACTTTCCAAGAAATCCCCTAGCAGGCTTCTCTTTACTTCTCATTGGCCAGGATTATGTCACATATCCATGCCTAAACTAGTCACTGACCAAGGGGTTGTATCTACCAGCTCGACTGTAGACTAATCAAAACCTTTACCCTGGAGGTTTGTGAGGGCCCCTGAAGCATACGGTATACAAATGCCAGAAGAAAGAAAATCATGGTTCTATTAGGAAGGAAGAAAGTGGCAAAGTGGCTAATGGATAGTCAGCTAATAGTGACTTCTCACTCTTAGAAAACAATAAGTAGTTGTGCGGAAAATGGAAGTTCCTATGGCCAGCATCCTCACTTGACCCTAAACTACTTGATGGTATAATTGGCCTACTGCTAGGCTACTGCTTCCACACCCATTGGCAATAAGCCAGTATTGCCTGTGTTACTAGATACAGACCTCTGCCCAGTGCTCTGGGCAGAGGCAGAGACAGAGGTGGATTAATGACCTGCAGACTGCTAAATGCAGACATGATTCTAGTGCTCGGCCTACTGCCGTGAGAATAAAGCCAGATATAAGCCCTTTTACCCCAAGAATGTTCAGTTGTCATTTTTTCAGTCTCACTGAATCCATAATGAACCTGCCCAGGCAAGAGAGTTCTGTGTGACTGATGCATTATATAATGCAGGGAACAGGAAAAGAGATGGCAATGGCAGAACAGGTGGACTGGGGTCAGACTGGACGGGATCAGACATACCAGGCGGAGGACATGCACCTTTTCCTGCAGGCAGTGGGGAGCCATGAAGACTGAGGCACAAAAGCTGAGGAAAACATAAGGGAAATACCACTAATTTCATCTTAACTTCAGAATTTTCCTAAAGACAGTGTGTAATCCTATGCAAATTATATACACAGCACAAGAAAATGTACTTATAGCTCCCTCAAATATTTTACATAACTGGATATGGTCTTTTCAAAAAAAAAAATCTTGGTGGAAATAATTGACTCAGCAACAATATCTCTAAGTGGGAAAGCAAACTAGCCTTGGATTGAGTATTTACATCTTATGACTTCTTTTTCTACTGACTAAAACCTTTTTTTTAGCTTTTGTACTAAGTTCCTTTATGATTTGCCTTCAAGGAGCTGGTGAATATCCATATTCCTGCACTACAGTGTCTATCTTCAATGCTGATTGTAATTGTCTCTGTGTGAAATGAATTCCACGTGAATCTTTAGAGGAAGGCAGAGCTAGTTAAGGTACTATTTAATTACAAATGAGAAATGCATTCTTTGATTCATTAAAGAAGATCGTGGTGCAAAGAGGCTGACCTCAAGCTGATGAAAACTTCTCAGATTAAGATGCTGGGAGCTTCATTATTGAAGTTTAAGTTCTGGGGGACCTGCACATGTGATGAAATGCAAATGGATCAAGAAGGAGAAATTAGGAAGTGTGCTTGTCACATATGAGATTTTTTAGTATTTCTGAACAAGAAGGCTTTATTTCAGCCAGATCTTAACTGAGAAAAGGAGGATTATTACTTCTGTTTCCATGAAAGTCAAGCTGCTCCTTCTCCTCCATTTGGCAAAAACAGTACAGAACCCAAAGGTAGTAAGTTCCCATGAATCCGGTATGCTTGAGGGTGGGGATGTTTTCCTGGATTCTTACAGCCCTGCACTCGTTGGTACGTACTCAAATTTGTTGGGTAAATGAATACCAACCCTAGTTTAAGCCAAATCACAAGCCTGGGCAACTGAAAAACACTGTATATTTTACATGGATCACTACTTGTGCCCTTCTTCTCATCTGTTCATTTATTCAACAAGTTTTTATCTAAGGCCTCTATATAGCAGGTTACTATTGTAGGCCTAGGAACACAACATTGAATAAACGCCAAACATCCCTTTTCTCTTGGAGTTTACATCCTAATGGGGAATGATATAAAACAAACAAGATTAACAGGTAGTATACACAGTATGTTTACATGATGAAAGACACTAAGGAGAGAAATAAAGTAGGTAAGGATATAGGGGAATTGGGAAGGCATGTAATTTTTTATAGCAGGAAGGTCTCAGTTAGCTGATGACTGTGATAACCATTAATATTATAGTACTGTTCATCAATATTTCTGGTTATTCATCTGGGCCCATGATAGGATTGCATTTCCTTGCTAAACTGGAATCAGAGATGCCCAGTATTTGCTTTGGCTGATTAAATGTAGTAGAAGTGATGTATGGGTTTTGGATGGAAGCTTTAAGTGCTAGTATATGATTCTTTATGCTCTTTCTTTTCCTCAGCCACAGCAGTTTTCTAATAGTGGCTGTTCTGTCAGCTGGCAACCTAGAGTGAGGACAACATGGAGCAGAGCCCAGCAACCCCAAAACGGACGTGTACTATGACGTGTTTTAAGTTACTAAGGTTTTGAGGTTGCTTGTTATTGTAGCATAGCCTAGCCATCCTGTCTGATATGATGGCAACTGATTAAAGAAAGACCTGAAGGAAGTGAGGGAGCGAGAATGGCGTATTTCTAGGGAAGAGCACTCCCAGCAAGGGTGATAGAGCAAAGGCCTCCAAATGGGAGTATGTGTGGCATTTTAGACTCAAATGAATGGAGAGAACAGTAGTAGAAGACTCAATCCAAGACGTGATGAGGTAGGGTTTAAGTGCCATTGTAAGGACTTTAACTTTTTTTTTTCCAGCAAGAAATGAGTAATGAGGAAGAGTAACATGATCTGACTTAAAGACTTTTTAAACATTCTGTTTGTTTGTTGGGAATAAATTGGGGTGGGGGTAAGATAGGATCAGGAAGAACAGTAGGGAGGCTGTTGCCTTACATCCAGGTGAAAGAGAAGAGTTGTTTTAATCATGTAGTGGTTGGATTCCAGATATTTTTTTATTGAAAGTTGATAGGATTTGCTAATGGATCAGAAATGGGTTGAAAGAAAAAGAATAGAGTCCAGAATGACTCTAAGGTTTTTGCCCTAAGTAAATAAGAGAAAACTGTAATTTCCTAAAATGGAGAAGATAACAGTAAATGTGTTGGGGAATGCATAGGACCTCAAAATATTGGGCAGTGTTAAGTTTGGGATGCCCATTAGACTACCCAGTGGAGATGTAAGGCAGACAAGTCCATAATGGAGATAGAAACTTGGGAGACATTGATATATATATAGATAGTGTTTGAAACCATGAGACTCAGTGGTAGCAACAAGGAGAAAAGTGTAGAGAGAAAAACACAGAGGTCTAAGGAGTGAGATTAATGAATATTAAGAGATCAGGGAGAAGAGAAGAAACAGTGAAAAAGGCTGAGAGGGAGCTGCCAATGGGGAAGCAGAAAAACAAACAAAACAAAACAGGAAAATGTGTTGAAGAAAGAGTGTTAAATTCCTCAGAGAGGTCAAGTAAGAAGAGGCCTGAGAATTGACCATGGGATTGAGAAAATGGAGGTCATCTCTAACCTTGATAAGAGCAGTTTCCCTGGAGTGGAGTGCCGGCAGCCTGACTGGACTACACTCAAGAGATAATGGAACAAAAGAAATGGAAACACGTCATTTAAGGAGTTTTATTGCAAAAGGAAGTAAAGAAATGGAGCTTTATTGGGCAACAAATGGAGTCAAGAGAAGAATGGGAAATAGATAAAATCAATAGCAATTTTGTAGGCAAATGGAAAGAGGAAAAATTTGATAATGCTGGATAGAAAGGGGAGATTGCTGGAGTAATGTCCTCAAATAGACAAGAGGAGATGAGATCTAGTGCACAGAGGAGTTGTCTTTGGTCAGGGTTCATCCAGGAGAAATGGGCATAAATGCAGGGAGGTGGTTGTATATGGAGCTGGTAGAATGTGGGAGAAATCATCTGAGTGCTTCTATTTTCTTAGTGACATTGGAAGCAGGTTCATGGGTCAGAGTAAGGGTAGCAATCTGAAGGGACATGAGAAGGTATAAACTACTGTTGAAGAGAGAAGGAAAGTGAGTGGATTAGGAAAATATACTATGATTTCCAGGCAGCATTAAAGTGAGTGAACATGAATTTAAAGGAGACCAATGAGCATGGCTGTGTGGTTTTCTCAGGCCACATTCAGCTGTGTGGGAGCAGGCACGGAGCAGGTAGAGAAGGGTTTACACAGTGGGTGTTTTGCTACAGTAATATGATGAGGATAGAAAGAGGCAAGACAGTTGAGAATTTATGCCAGGGTGTGATGATACTGTAATTAACAATGGAATTTAAGCACACAATGGAGGGAAGTGAGGTAATGAGCAGGGTATGTTATTAAGAAAATGCATTAGGATGCATGGATTGTAAAAACAGTAGTGGCTATGGCTGGCTGAGTGCCTTCTACCACTGGGGTAGGTGTTTCACATTAATTAATGCTAATTCACAAAAACCCTACAAGGTAGGTGTTAAAATTCCAAATGTATAGCTTGCTAATAGACTGACCTCACATATTATGACTACAAGTGAGACCATGAGTGATATTTGAAATTCAGTTATCATTTCAATATCCAGTAAACAATGCATGTATTCAATATCAATAATAAGTGTTACATGAGTACAGGAACCTGGAAGAAATGGGGAGGCACTTAAACATCTTGAGGTTTGCCAAGAAAAGAAAACCCCAACCAAGAGACTGACTTGGGCAGGAGTTTCAGACTTCCTAGAGTTTACACATAGGAATCTGGCCTCCAGGGACCAGGATGACACAAACAGCTGCAACTTGAAATTGATCTGCAGCTATAAATAAAGTGCAGCAAATCCAAGCAGAGTCAGCAAGAATCCAGTTGAAATCCTGCATCCTGGCTGAAATCTCTAGTGTTCAGTAACAGAAAGTAAACTCAGAAAGCCAATCCATGTATTACATGAGAAGATACACTAGTTTCCTAGGAAAGGTGTAACTCCAGGTAGCTGAAGCTCCAGGTTTCTTGGTTGAAATAATCTCAGTGACTCTCAGTGGTGTTTGTATGGACAAATACAGAATGCTTTAATATCAATATTTCAGGCTAAAAGATCTATGCATGTGTGGAGAACATAGTCAATGATTCTGTAATATCTTTCTACATTGATAGATAGGAAGTGCACTAGAGGGAGTGAGGATTTAATAATATGGGTAACTGTTGAACCACTGTGCTGTACATGTGAAACCAATATAAGATTATATATCAAGGATACTTTAGCAAAAAAAAGAATCTATGTATGTGTTACATATTTCAAATGCTTAATATGAATGTGGCCAGTAGAGTAACAGTCTTCTAACTCCAACTTAAAGAAACTTCTCAATGAACTTCTTCACTGATACATATCTCCTTCACTATGAATTTAATAAACTTGTATTAAAAAATAAAAAATAACTTGGTGTGTTTGTTTTATTTGCTTACATGAACATAAAGGGAATCACAGAACCAATTCTCAGTCCCCCCAGGATATTGCTGAACCAACCCTGAAGCCACCACAGCTAGACTTCTTGCTAAGTGAACCTTAAATATGCTACTTTTTGCCAGGGACTGACAAACTACAACCCATGGGCCAATAAATAGAGCCTTGTTGGAACATAGCATGCTCACTTGTTCATATATTGTCTATTGCTACTTTCATGCTACACCTGCACAGCTGAATCACTGGAACAGAGAGAGCACGGCCTGCAAAGCCTAAAATATTTACTATCTGACCCTTTACAGTAAAAGTTTGTTAATGTAAAACTGAAGGAACAAAACAGTAGCAGACTCACAGACTCCAAGAAGGGACTAGCAGTTAGCAAAGGGAAGGGGTTGAGGAAGGAGAAGGGGATGAAGGGGCACTATAATTGGGAATCACAATACAGCATCTTACTACACTGATAGACAGTGATGGCAATGGGGAGGTGAGTACTTGATAATATGGGTGAATGTTGAAACCACAATGTTGCTCATGTGAAACCTTCATAAAATTGTATATCAATGATATTTTAATTTAAAGAAAAGTTTGCAAATCTCAGTTTTAAATACCATTAGTTGAGTTTTTTTGTTATATCATACTGAGAGCATGCTGAAATCATACAGCTACATTTCAGCTACCTCTTCCAATTCCTGGATTCTCCCAGAAACTCTCAGTAAGGTCTTCAGTATTCCTCCATACATTGCCTGGTACACCGTGGATGAATCCAATACCTACTTCATCTAAAATCTTGTACAATTGACCCTACTAATGCCCAGTCATCCCAGAACTTTTTCACATCTGTGGCAGAGCCATGCTCTGTCCCCAGGGGAATAGCTTGCATTCAGTCTGGAACGTTCTGACGGCTCTCCCCTTCCCCTTGGCTGGCTTCCATTCATCTTTTACAGCTTAGCTCCAGTGCTATTCCTTCAAGAAAAGATTCTCTGACCCACCAAATAGGTCATGTCTTTATTTTATGGTCTCAGGGGACCATAAATTTCTCCATCATAGCATTTACCAAGAACTATAATAAGGTGTGAGTTGTATATTCATTTTATTCTTTACCTTCCTTTTTAGAATAAAAGCTTTATGTGTGCAGGGGCTGTCTTGTTTATATTCTTTATCCCTAGTGCCTTAAACATTATTTCATTTGTAAAACACACAAAATAGATATGTAATAAATAAATGAGGAATAAGTAAATGGAACAAACAGTACAAATCATGCTTTGAACCATGGGAAACCTTATGTCCTTTACTGAACCATGTTCATTTTTCAGAAATACAGAAGCAACTCAATTATATTAGGCTAGTGCGTTTTATATGGGTCTGACAATATCTTAACAAGTGTGTCAAGATCTGACACCTCGTCCACTCAACCCAAACCCATCATTTTTCTAAGATAACATGTCAACTGCCTAATCCATTTACCTGGTGGTCCTGCATTTGTGTATATCAACCTCAGCTCACTCACAGAGGTAGTTCCACCCCTTGCAAGCTCTATGCCCTTACAGGCTCCCTAACCTCTGTTTTCTCATCCATGAAATGAGGATGCAGTATGTGGACTACAGACTTCTGCTCCACTGTGAAGAGGGTAGGTAAGCGTCTGCCTAAATTTAGATGCTGTCACAGAAGTAAGAAGGAAAAGGTAAAGTGACTTGAGAAGGAAGATGTGGTCCTCAGAGTCCTACTAACAGAATCCACCTAATATTTTATCTGGGACAGTTTTACACCTAGAAATATTACCTTTTTTTTTTAAGAAACTACTTTCTGTCAGTCTTATTTCCATCTTCTATTTAAGAGCCTGCGGAAGAACAGCTTTAGCCTCTCCGTGTTGCTCCTCCCGTGCCGCGGCCTGAGCAGTGGGTGCTGCGGACCAGCCCTCAGAGATGGGCAGAGGCTCCCGTTCCCGGTAGGGGGCTGCCGGGTGGGCACAGAGCACCTGCACGCCTCAGAACAGTCTGCAGCCTTGGGGTGAGTAGCAGTGAGCCCAGCAGCTGGAGCAGGCCCTTCACCCTGAAAGTCCTCGGTTGTGGCATTTTCCTCAGCAGCCTGTTCTTCCTTTTCAGTGTCTTCAAGATCTCTGCGGAAACAGAGATCAGGCATGGCCTCCCACGGGTGTTCACGAGGGGTGGTGCCACGCACTCGCAGAGCTTTCATCCGCGGCAGACCCCCCAGGGGCTCACCTGCTGTGGCGTGGACGGCAGAGTCCACACACGCAGAGGAGATTTGGGGTTACAAGGAGCGGCTAACGTCAGTCACCTCTGGGAGAGGCTGTGGTGCCCCGGGACCCAGGGGCACCAGCAGGGGAGGCTCCCCGAAGGCTGCTTGGGCCTGGCTAGGGGAGGTCCTGGGAGTGGGGCGGCCAGTGGGGGCAGCTCCGGCGGCGAACGTCGGCACAGCTTGCAGGCCGGTGCTCCTGGGGCGCGGGACACGGACGTCAGCGGGCTTTCCATGGAAGCTCCTCCCGGGTCCCCTTCAGGTCTGTGCTGCAGGTGCCATCACCTGTCCTTTTGTGCATGTGCTGCTCCTTTGGAAGTTAGGGTTGGTGCTGCCGAAGTGGGTTCCTGCTGTAGGGGATTTGAGGGCGTCCTCCGCCTTCATCTGCAGGACACCAAGGACTCCAGGCGGTGTGAAAACTTCTCTTGAGTTACGGTGAGAACCAGCAATGGTGGACCCCTCGCTGGGTAAATGTGGAAAGATTGCATTATTCTTCACACTCTGTCATCAGGAATGGGATCTTGAGAACAAAATGGGTCCACAAGGAAACTGTCATTTTCCATTTTAATGGCAAGTGCCAGTGAGTCTAAATCAGTTTCAATCTTGCTCCCCATTAAAACTTATGCTCTGTCCAACATCCCCCAGTTGGCAACCTCCCACAGGCCTGAGTGGCGGTCAGGAACCACAGGAGCTGTGCACCTGGGCCTGCCTCCTCCTCCTAGAGGCTCTCCAGCACTGGGGTGGGAGGGCCGGAGAGTGCAAGAAGCATCCTTCCTTGGCCACTGCTCTTCCTGCTTTAGGTGTTTCTTGGCTCACGCCACGGGCTCAGACTGGCAGCCACCACGCTCAGATCCCTGCCGGGTAGGAAGAGCGGATAGCGGGATACCCTGAGGACGCCGACGAAGTGCACACACTCCAGCTTCTGCACTTAGCTTACCACCACTCCTGCTGGCAGGACCATCAAGGAGCTTTAAATCCCCTTACTCTCCTAAATAGCCCCTTGGGCTGAGGAAAACCCAGACACCCCTTCCGTGCTGACGATGGGGGCAGACTGGCCCTCTGCCGCTTCTCCAGCTCGGCCCTTGCAAACTGCTCCTCCGGGCTCCCACCTTCAGGGCACTCAGGCAAGAAGCTGGTAGGAGTCCCCGGGTTTACACGTGCCCCCACCTGTAGGGAATGAGTACCAGCCAAGATCCTTAAAACGTTCTCCCTCTACTCCGCTTGGGAGGCAGCATCTCCAGGGTCCTGGGCGTGTCTGCACCTCAGTCAGCAGCCAGCAAGGAGCCAAAAGGCAGCATTCCCTCCTGTAGGCAGCCCCAGGGGCTTGGACCTGTCCTCACAGAGCTACTCTCATTGGGCCTTGGAGGTGGGTAACTCAGGACAATGGAGGCGAAATGACACACAAGTCCCTATCCAACCAATACCTCACGAGTATCAAGTTACGATGTAGCAAATTGAACTTTCATTTCTCCTCTTATGCAGGCTTGTGGGGGTGGATGGGGGTTAGGAAGACTCTGGCCTGCCTGTTAATAGCATCTGCAGGTGTTCACCTAGCATCTCCTCCTTAGAATGTGCAGGTTCTTTCAGCTTTGCAGCTGTAGCTGAGAGCCAAGAATAGAAGAGCCCCCATTTATCATTCTGTTAAAAAAAATGTAAATATGTATATATATATTTTACCAGATTTGGATGGTATTATTTTATAACTTGCATTTTCTCAAAGATGTGTGGTAAAATTCCCCATGCTACTAAATGTGCTTTGAAATATTATTTTTAATATCTGTGAGAGGGAGACAAGAATGTCTCACAGCATCAGTAATATTTGGGCTGCATCTAAAAGGGTGAGTCACAGTTTTCTGTGGGAGAGAAGAGGGAAGCCTCATATTAAAAGATAATATAAGCAAGAAAGAACTGTTCTGGGAACTGGCAGAAGGGGTGGAGACTTGATCTACACAATCCTGTGAAATTCAAGAGTGAGTACTCATAACTGTCATTATTAGTATTATCATAAATTTTATTTTCAAAAGAGGAAACTGAGGTTTAGATAGATGAAGATATTTGTCTAAGATCAATGAGTCAGTCAGTGGTAAAGCCTGAATTCAAAGTTGAGATGCCTAGAAACTAAGAGGAAACAAATGTAAGAAGGAAAGGAAGAAATGCAGGCATCCAAAATCATGATGAAGGAGAAGGGGTGCCCTAGAAGTGAGAGTGGAATGGAAGGAAAAACCTCTGCTCCATTTCCAATTTAAACCCTTTTGTTCTTTGAGAGGCCTGGGAAGTTGACCGCCAACTTCCCTCATCTGATGAGTGAAGTATAATAAATGTGTGCTTTTCTTTCTTGTACAAATGTGAAGTCATTTCCAAAATTAGCCCTATCCGACTGTTAAAATCCCCAAGTTCCCGAACTCTCTCAACAGGAAACAAGCAGTGGACATCCAGATGTTTCTCCTTACAGTGTTTGTCTGTGTAGTGTTTACATATATCTTTTTCATGTCAGATCAGCACTTTATGAAATGCTTTATTATAGCAATTGAGCATTTTTTAAAAAGTACTGACAAGGGTACTCAGGGAAGCATGGGCCCAGGGTGACACATGGCTCCTTAGCCAATGATCCATCTCAGAAAACCATTTCTGAGAGCCACACTTTCAGCTCACGCTCAGTTAAGAAACTCACCAAGTACATGACACAGTTGAGACTGTCCCTTTTCTGTATGAAGAAAACTAGCACATGGAACAAACCTTGATGAACATCCCCTTTGGAGGTTAGAATAAAAATGGTCTGCAAAATGTGCAAGCTGCCAAAGGCTGTGAATACCAAAGAACGCCTTCCTGCAGGAGGAGAGCTGAACAGAAGCCTGGGAAGGTGAGTGATCGGCTCTCACCTTGTGTAGTAGTAGTTCTTTCTTACCTGGTGCCAGGAGCTAGGCTAGAAAAAGTAAAGATTTTGCATACATACCTCAGTTTTGTATACAATCCTCACAATAGTCCTAAGAAGGAGGTACTGTTTTCATGCCCTGTATGTAGTAGATGAAACGGAGACTCAAGAGAGGCTCAACAACCTACAAGTTTCCGCACCTACTAAGTAGCCGAGCTGGAAACCTAGGTCTACCCCAGTTCAGAGGGACCATGCATTTAACTAACCATTATATTCGGAATGGACTACTCCACAATTCTGTTCTTAAAAACACAAATCAAAACGTGGTGGATCCACTTGGTTGATTCTCCAAGGAGAAGATGAGATTTTGCCTCCGTTTCTAACACCAGGACTGCTTTTCTCTTCCTTAGTAATTATTTAATGAGTCGTCCTCCCCTGCCTCTACTTAGGGGATGAGGTCACTTTGGATCACTTCTCTTGTCTTCCTTTCAGGCTGCCATTGTTTCATTCTTTCTCTGAACCCCTAAAAAAGACATCAAAGGCAAACAGCACATACCTGGCAGGTCACAGGGATGAGCAATGGGGGAAAAAATTAATAGAAGAGTAACAAGCTTGGATCCCAGAAGCCTTTCTCTTGCCAGGTAACTGGTGACCAAAGAGATAACTTATCAGACTTTCTCAACTGATACCACATTTGATTAATTAGTCTTTCTTCCTTTTCTTTAATTATGGTCTTAGTCTAGACTCCCTGCTGTTTGTTCCACCACTGAAGGGAGGAAAGGAAGAAAGAAATGAAGATAAATATAACCAACGTATTTTGGATCTGGGATGTCTCATTAGCAAGTCTATGATTTTGGTGCAGAGTAACTAACACTTAGTACAGAAAAGGTCTTTTCTCATTCTATTTGTTTTAACCAAATGTTTAAATTGGTGTGTCCCCTTTGGCCTATCTAGAGGAATGCCTATATCCAAAACACACATACTGTACGTAAGAACAGGCATAAACAAAAGTCCAACATCTGCTCACCAGATCTGCCCCTCAGTTTTCTTCTTAAACACCAAGGGAAGCATCTCCAGTTAGTCTCCAGTTTGACTTTGCAAGAATGCTGGATTCTCATAGAGTTTTTGCCTCTCACCTTTCCTGCAGTTTATAGGGGGCTTTGAAGTTCCTCTGAACAGACAGGGTCTCTGTGTTCCACTTATTGCTTAGCCAACCCTGGAGCCTTGGGTCCATCAGCTCCTTATTAAGTGCTTAGTAATTTCAGTTTCCACCTTTTGGTCTTGCTCGCTTTGCCAACATCTGGAGAGGATTAGCTCCCAGGCCCTGTAACATACCCATTTTGTGGTTCTAGGGAGAGCTGTGTGCTAGGAGATGTTGTGGCCTGTAACGAGCTTTCTTTATGGTTTTTAACTGTAAAAGGTACCCTCGTTAATATTAATAAAGGAGAAAGCAGAGCCACTCCACTCTATTTAGCTCCTGCCTTCTTGATGGCAAGATCTTCATGTTGAAGAATATCATGAAAATGGGAATGAAGTACAAGATAAAAGAATCCATAATAATAATAATAACAACAACAATATGTCCAGGCACTTGAAATGAGTATAAGTCTATCCCTGCTCAATTCAATATGATAATGGCTCTCTACTTGTGGCTTCCAAGTGCTTGAACTGTGACTAGTACATATTAAGATTTACTGTGAGTGTAAAACACACTAGACTTGGAAAACTTAGTATAAAAAATGTAAAATATCTTAATAATTTTAATATAGGTTATATGTTGAAATAATAATCTAGAGCTATAGCATTATAATTAATTTTAACTCTTCTTTAACTTTTAAATATGGTATCAGAAATGTTTTACTTATGTAAGTGGCTGGCCTTCATGGATTGCATCATGTTCCTATTGGATGGCAGTGTGCTAATGGACCAGAAAAATTATTTAACAAGATATGAATAGGACCTGCAAGATTCCCATGACTTGGGGATCCTATATGACATCAAAGTGAATAGAAGAGGAATCAAAAGATGTATTGAGAAGATGTCATCTTGAATTTCAACAAACAGGAAAAGGTGGCTGTCAGAAACTACTGATGGGTAAGTTTTTTCTC